GTACTCATGCACGTACGCACGCACCGTAAGCTCATGCACGCACGCACGCACGCATCGTAACTTCATGCACCGTATGGCACGCACGCAAGGCACGCACGTACTCATGCACGCACGCACGCACGTACTCATGCACGTACTCATGCACGCACGCACGCACGCACGTACTCATGCACGTACGCAGTTGTCTGCGGTACATCACAGTAGACAGTAACCCCCGCAAACTCACTGGCTTGTTGATGAACTCGCCTTTTTCGAATTACCGACTACACGTCTCGATATATTTACGTCTACCGTTCGAATTCGCGGCTAGCAGAACTCGTTGCGCGCTGTAAATAACCCCTAGACCGCGTCTACATGAGCAATGTGTTGCGCAGAGTACTCATGTTGCTTAGTAAGCACATGGTAGAAGAAAGGTGGTGTCTGCTACACACAGATGGTGGGGTGGGGTAGAGCACTGATCAGGAGGACAGTGGATTTCCAGCCCTCTAAGAGGCACGGGGGTTGGGCGTATAAGTTACTGGGGAAGGTGGTCTGCCCGTGCTACTTTTCGGTGGGCGGGGTGGTGCTGTGATACTGCTTGCTCAATTTGCTTGCTATTCTCATGTGAAGGTCGGTTGTGATGATAGCGGCTTCTGCGTTCAGCTGTAGTTTGTTTAGTGTTTAGGTGTCGTTAGTATCGCCAGGTAAAGTGGCGAATCTCCGCTCGAAGACGATTACCTTTCGTTATTACCACCCGTTCAGCTGATTTCACCGTGAACAGGAACTGAATGCGTCGGATGCCGTGTGGCCGTTACGCTGCGAGTCACCGCAACTACGTGCATGCGTGCGTGGTACACCGCTAGAATGCAGTTTTTCCTGTTTGACCATCTTCGCTTCTTTTCATCGTTTTTCTTTCTTTGCTTCGTTGCCTGTACTTCCTCTCTCGCACTCTCTCTCTCTCTCGCTCCCATCTCCGTTCTTTCTATGTATCTAATTCGTCTCCCTCTCTATGGCTATCTGTCTCTCTCTCTCTAGGTCGGTCAGTCATTCCCTCTTCCCCCCATTTTCCTCTCGCTCTCTACCGCTCGCTTACACTCTCACCTTCTTCCTCAATATCTCATTATATTTCACTCACACGTCTTGTAATTCTGCGACTTGTCGACTAGGCCCATTTTCTTTCTTCGCCACCAGTGATGATCTAACTGCGTCCATACGCATACTCCCTCATTTCGTCACTGTCCTCTGTGTCAGCCATGTTGCGAGACGCGGAAATAAAAGGGCCTGGCCATTCAGTTGTGCATGCACACGCGTGCGCACACGTTCCACTGCGAAAAGCTGTAGGCTAACCTGTCGACGAAAAAAGTCGTGCCTCAAAGTGGGTCACCAGTTTAGAAAGTGACATCCTACTTTCAAGGACTAATATAAACGATGTATTGAGCCGTATTCGCGCCACACTTGTATACATATATATTTGCATATAATATATCCGTACACACACTGTTCGCCATGTGTTTTGTGTAGACATATAGAGACGGTTCTGCTTGAACGAACGACAAGTTTCTTAAGTTGGTTCTTGCGTAACAGCGAGCCGCGGCTGGCCCCGGCCGTACGCACGCGCGCGCGTCCCTGCAGCAGGTCGCAGCGGGCACGGGGAGGGGAGGGGAGTGGAGGGGGTCGGGTCGCCGACGTGTTCGTCGAGCGTGTAATTCGCTCCGCTCTGACACAGTTCGGGGCAGCGGTAGCGCGCCAGCAGCGAGAGAGCGAGCGACAAGGCTGTCCGATTACTGATAGCGCACGCGCCCGCACACTCACGGTAGCTGCGCTCGACGGCGGCTGCTTCTTGTGGTCTGTGCTTGCCTTGCCTAAGTTCGCTCGCTGCCGTGAGTGAGTTACCCGTTTGCCGTGTCTTTGATCAACACGCTGCGTGCTAGCTTCGCTCGTCATCAACCCGTGCCGTTCTCCTGCGCTGCGAGTCCATATTGTCTGCGATTGAACACCTGCCTGGCGATTCCCGTGTCAGTGCACCGCAGTCAGTCTCTGTACGTGCGAGAGTTTGTGTTTCCGTATCGCGCGGTGCGTATGCACACGTCTTGGTTGGGACGGGAGAGCTACTACCGCCACTACACGGGATATTACTGGATTGATTGTACGCACGGCCTTCATCTATCTAATTGCGACCTCTAGCTATCGCGTTTCCAAGAACAACGGCAGTGCGGAGAACTAGAGTCGGGAGAACAAGAGGCTTGGTGTTACTCCGCTATACGCCGTGTTGATGTCGGACGCTGCTGTGTGATATATACGCATAATCCGCCTCTCTGCTAAACTTCCTCCCCCTATATACAGACGGCTCGCAGGTAGACAAACGGCCATGGCGCTGGATCACTACGAACAAGGTTGGTTAGTCTCTCGGTCTTCCGCTGGTTTGTCTATTTTGCTTGGTTGATTAGTTAGTTGGTTGGGTGGATGATTGATTCGATAGTGTGGGTTGATAGTTTGGTACTTGTTTAGTTGTTTTTCGTGGGTGGTTGTATTGTTAGTTGGCCGGGTCGGTGGGTTGTTAGTTGGTTGGTTGGTTAGACGAATGAATAATTGGCTGAGTGGGCCTGCGCGTGTGTCCTTGGGTAGTTGGTTCTGTGGGTGGCTGTTTGGTTAGTGGATTGGTATGTCTCCGGCACGTGGATATAAAAGATACACTCCCTCAGTATGTTTAGCACACGTTTATCGCAACGTTGCCGCGTCGTTTACAAGCTTAGATTGTTGTCCGTACATGTTCGCGAGGCCGCAGCCCTGCTGCTGAGGCGGGAGCAGCTGGTCGTGGGTCGGCCCTCGCCACCCGCCGGCATCGTTGAATTGCAAACTGCAGTTCGTTTATGAGACCAATTCAATTTACACGACCCCTCCGCGCTGTGAAGTCAATATGGCCACACGTACGCGGCACGCACGTACTCATGCACGTACGCACGCACGTACTCATGCACGCACGCACGCACGCACGTACTCATGCACGTACTCATGCACGCACGCACGCACGCACGCACTCATGCACGCACTCATGCACGCACGCACGCACGCACGTACTCATGCACGCACGCACGCACTCATGCACGTACGCACGCACGTACTCATGCGATCGACATAGAGCAGTAGTTATATATATATAATATACTATAATATATATATATATATATATTCCTGGCTGTGGGAAATCATTTCCCCGACGCCGATCATTGGGGGTCATAAAACGAGGCGTGTGTTGAAGACTGTGGTGATTGACGAGGGGTAAATAAGCAAGCAGCCAGTCGGTGTCGCCCGATTTCAATACCGTATATAAACGGAGCGGAACACGTAGAAACAGAACAGCGATTAGGAAATGAATAATAAACAGCTAATAGCTGAGAGACACATAAATAAGGAGGAACATCGGCAGAGAGAAACATGGTGTGTAGATCGGGAGAGCAGATGCTCTGAGCGTGGGAGTTGACAGAGAGAAGGGAAGGAAAGCACGCAGAGAAACGCAAAGAGAGAACGATACGTACAGCAGAGTAAAAGAGAGAGCAAGGATAATAGAGCGTAAAGAGGCGAGAGATAGAGAGCGCGGCAAGGGGAGAGAGAGCAGAGAAGAGAGAGAGAGAGGAGACGGAGAGAGAGAGGAGAGAGAGAGGAGAGAGCGCGCGCAGAGAGAGAGAGAGAAGAGATGATGATTAGAAACAGTGGGAGGCTGAGCAGCACATTTCATTATAGACATTCCGCGCAAAGTTGTTAGCACGTCACGGTATCGGTATTTTCAGATGTGGTAGAGATTTGGAGAGACGGTTAATTAAAAAGAAATAAGGGAAACGAGGATATTTGTGAATGTCCGGACGCAGATTGGTAATAACGGTGGAAAAGGGAGAGGACGCGCACATACGCACATATCTCCTTCGAGCATTATGATAGCTCTACGACAAACGCATGTGATCGAATAAAGCGCGTGGACAGAAAAAGGGTGAGAAGATGAGCAGGTTATATCGAGTTGAAACCAAATACGATGTGAGCAGGCTTTGTCAGAGGAAAAGGTGTTCACGATCAGAAGCCGGAAATCTGTTTCAAACACAAAACTATCACCGCAGCGTACATGTACATATAGTCAAGAGCGTATAAAGAAAGAGCCTTCTTTATACGCTCTTGATATAGTTATATGTACCTACATATACGGATACATATCACTGTATCACAGCCCTACACCCAAATACTGTTCAGATTGCATTCGACCGTCTCTATCTCTGTCTCTCTCGCTATTTAAATCTTGTATATATATATTATATATATTATATAATATATGTATACAAGTGTGGCGCGAATACGGCTAATATCATCGATATATATTAGTCCTTGAAAGGTAGAATGTACTTTCTAAACTGGTGACCCACTTGAGCGCACGACTTTTTGTCGTCGTACAGGTTAGCTACAGCTTTCGCAGTGGAACCGGCTGTGGCACGCGTGTGCATGCACAACTGATATGGCCAGCCTTTTGATTTCGCGCGTCTCGCAACATGGCTGACACAGAGTGGACAGGACGAAATGATGGGAGTATTGCGTCATGGACGGCAGGTTTAGATGCATGCACTGGTGGCAAGAAAGAAAATGGGCCTAGTCGACAAGTCGCAGAATTGACAAGACGTGTGAGTGAAATATAATATGAGATATTTGAGCGAAGAAGGTGAAGTGTAAGCGAGCGGTAGAAGCGAGAGGAAAATGGGGGGGAAGAGGAATGACTGACGACGCTAGAGAGAGAGAGACAGATAGCCAATAGAGAGGCGAGACAGAATTAGATACATTAGAAAGAACGGAGATGGGAGCGAGGAGAGAGGAGAGTGCGAGAGAGGTAATTACAGGCCAACGAAGCAAAGAAAGAAAAAACGATGAAAAGAAGCGAAGATGGTCCAAACAGGAAAAACTGCATTCTAGCGTGTACGCACGCAGCGCATGGCACGTAGTTGCGAGTGACTCGCAGCGTAACGGCCACACGAGCATCCGACGCATTCAGTTCAATGTTCACGGTGACATCAGCTGAACGGGATGGTAAATAACGAAGGTAATCGTCTTCGAGCGGAGATTCGCCACTTTACTCGGCGATACTAACGACACCGTAAACACTAAACAAACTCACAGCTGAAAGCACCATCTACCGCGCTATGACAAGAAGCCGCCTATCATCACAACCGACCTCACATGAGAATAGCAAGCAAATGAGCAACGCAAGTATCACAGCACCACCCCGCCCATCGAAAAAGTAAGCACGGGCAGACCCACCTTCCCCAGTAAATTATACGCCCAAACCCCCCGTGCTCTTAGAGGCTGGAAATCGACTGGTCCTGCTGATCAGTGCTTCTACCCCCCACCCCACATTGTGTGTTAGCATGAACCACCTTCTTCTACCATGTGCCTGTTACTAAGCAACATGAGTACTCTGCGCAACATATGCTCATCGTGAGACGCGGTCTTAGGGGTTATTGTACAGCGCCTGCAACCGATCTGGCTAGCGCGCGAATTATCGAATCGGTAGACTGTAAATATATCGAGAACGTGTAGTCGGTACATTCGAAAAAAGGCGAGTTTCAATCAACAAGCCAGTTGACGTTTGCGGGGTTACTGTTCCTACTTGTTGATGTACCGCAGACAACTGCGTAGTGCATGAGTACCGTGCGTGCGTGCGTCCGTGGTACATGAGTAGTGCTGCTACTGTGCATGAGTACGTGCGTGCCGGTGCTGTGCATGAAACGTACTTGCTATCCTACGTGCTACTGCGAGTAACGTGCGTGCTGCGTGCGTGCCTACGGTGCATGAAGTTACGTGCGTGCGTGCCGTGCGCTGCAGTGAGTTACGGTGCGTGCGTACCGTGCAATGAGTACATATTCTGCGTAGTCCTTGCCGCTGTACGTAATATGTGCCATATTGACTTCACAGGCGCGTGAGAGGGTCGGTGTAAATTTTCGAATTGGGTCTTCATAAACGAACTGCAGTTTCTAAAATTCAACTCGATGGCGGCGGGTCTGATCGCCGGTGGCTGAGGAGCCGACCATACGACCAGCTGCTTCCCGCCTCAGCAGCCTGGGTTGCGGTTACTATCATGACCTCGCCGAACATGTACGCGACAACATCTAAGCTTGTAAACGACGGCGCATTACGTATTCTAGTCTATTGCGATAAACGTCGTGTCTAAACAATACTGATGGGGAGTGTATCTTTTATATCCAACGTGCCGGTATGATGCATACCAAATCACTAACCAAACAGTCGCCACCCACAGAACAATAACCACAGGACGACCGCGAGGCCCACTCAGACGCTAATAATATCAAATTTGCTTAAACTCACACGTAAACCAACTAACATCCCACGACCCCGGCATAACTAACAATACAACCTACCACGTGAGAAAAACAACTAAACAAGTACTCCTAAACTATCAACCCACGCTATCGAATCATCATCCACCCAACGCGAACTAACTAATTCAACAAGTCAAAATAGACAAACCAGCGGTAAGAGCCGAGAGACTAAAATACCAAACCTTTTGTTCGTACGTGAATACAGACGCCATGGCCGTTTGTACTACCTGTCGCGCCCGTCTGTATATTAGGCGGGAGGGACGTTTAGACAGAGAGTGCCGTTATGGGTATATATCACACAGACACTGCGTCCTCGACATTCAAAACACGGCGTATAAGTGCGGTAGTCTATCTAAGCTTCTTATACACCAAGCTCTTTTTATTGTTCTCTTCCGACTCTTAGTTCTCTCACTGCCGTTTGTGTTCTTTGCCTGAAAACGCTGCATATTAGACTAGATTGAGTGGTCGCAATTTTAGATAGATGATGGCCGTGCCGTTACATAATCAAATCCTCTCGTAATATCCCTCGATCGTGTGGCTATTATCTGGATAGTCTGTAGCTCTCCTCCGTCCCATACCAAGACGTGTTAGCGTTCCATATCGATCCGCGTCATGACTTACGGAAACATCAAAACTCTTCGCTCGTACCAGTGACTTGGACTGCTCGAGTGGGCATGACACGCTGGAATTCGCATCTAAGGCATAGCTGTTTCAATCGCAGTCAATTAGTCTAATCGTCAGTTATCGTCAGTCTATCGATGAAACTGCTCACGATCGTATGTATGTAATCTCTCGCGTGAGTACTGAGATCTTTAATCCTTAATCGTACATACTGAAGTCCTGTGTATTCTTTATCAACTTCTTCATCAACTGACATATCTACTCAGTGAAAAACGTGCGGGTTATACTCTCACTCACTGTGACAGCGCGCGATACTTATGCTGAAGCGGCAAGCTCGATACTCAAGACCCTACTAACGAAGTCTCTCCGACCTTCAATCGTAATCTAGTGTCGATCATATATCTACGTCGTATCTATATATCTGTAGTGTTGCTAGTTCTAGCGCGTGCTTCACTCGCTCATATCTCTCACGTAACTCTCGTTACTGCTTTCCTAGTAGTCACGCCTCAGTAATACTAGCTACGCTGTTGGCCGACGCTGCTAGCGCATGCCCCTTAACTGTCTTGTTTGACAATGTGCTGCAGGGGCTCGTTAATTTAATGCTGGCCCTGCAGGCGTCAACAAAAATTTGTCACATTATTGGCGTCAATTTGGTCCTCCTGTGAATGCTCACAGAGAACCTCGAGCACGCGCTACATTGACGAGGCGCTCTCGAAACTGAATCACAATTGTGTCTCAGTGACGACCACTGTAACGCCCTTCCAATAAACACTCCCTCCCGTGCACGCTGCCGCATTACCTGAGTGCGTTCACGGTGTGGACGCCCATTTCTCGAGTGGTCGCAGTGGTTTGCAGTGTGCATTTAAACCGACGGCGTACATTCACATAAATTCCCGGCGGCCATATTGCCAGCATCGTGTACTCAGTCTGTGTAAGCTAGTAATCTCGCTATAACGCATAATAAGTATAAACTTGTTCGTGTCGTATTACAAGCGAAACGACTCATCGTATAATATATCCTCATATAGTCATACACCACGAAAACGGATGCGTGCGATAACACAGTTTTGCTGTCGTTGTGTACGGATATATTATAGCTCAATTTGACACCAACATTTAGTGTGTTTTGTGTGTTTTAGATAGTTGTAGGTATGCGTGCCTAAAGTGATGAAAGAACACGAGAGTTCTAAGGCTAGATAGGGCGTGGAGATAGTCGGTGTTCGTGTTGTAAGCTGCCGTTGTGTGCACGTGTGTTGTGTGTTGTGTGTTGTTATGTGTAGAGTCCGATGTGACTGTGAACGTTGATATTGTAGAGCCGTCTTGAATGCGATTAGTTCTGTTCTCGTGTTGTCGTTGTGTGTGATAGTTGCTAGGCACTAAGGTGTGTGTGGCATCATTACTAGCTGCAAGTCATCTACGCTAATGCTGGTTCAGGGTCAATCAAGGTGTCCTCCCCCCTCCCACCTCCCAGGGTGTCGTTAAGAACAGTGTCTGTCTGTTCGCTATTTTAACAAAGTGCTTGCTTTTAATTCCTGTATAATGGCCCAGCAAAAGGGAAACACAAATAATGTTCCTCTTATGAGACATGTGTCCTTGTGTAGAGTGGGTTGCTTAACACAATTAATGTTCGGTTGTGATAATTTTAATGCACTATGTAGATGTGCATTTGTGCTGTGTCTCATTGTCGCTCGTTGTGGGTGTATTTGCGTAGTGTGTTGCGGCTGCTAATATAAACTCTGCGTTGTTTGGCAGGGAAATTAATAATACAGGCGCTTTAGATGGCAAAGATATAGTTGATTGAGCACATACACGTGCCTGTGTGTGGTGTGTGTTGTGCGACGCGCAATCAACGTTGT